ACCATCAGAGAAATCTGGTGATTGCAACACAGCTACTGTTTGCTTATGTGTGCATGTGTGTGAGACATTATTAATTTTTGTTGTCCCTCCTAGGTGAAAGGCATGCTGGCAATGAATGTGATAAGTGCCATAACAGCTGCTATTAGCATCGTTTGCCAGTCTCTCACCATTATCTACTTCTTTCACTTCCATCTGGGGCATTACTGCAATTATCTTGTTAACCAATTTAAGGAAAAATGTTACAAAATCGAGGTGAGACCTTTTATAAGTATGTGACCTTCCAGAATTCATCTGTAAGAAGTTGCTTTCAACAGGGTAGAGAGGGAGAAAGGAGCTCATGGTGACCTCTAGATGGACATGTAGCTCTTTGGAGGACCTGGTGTCAAAAATATGTCCCAAGCAGAGTTTCAGCCATGGAAAAGTTGGGTGGGAACATTGTCTTGGAATTTCTAGAATTTGGCCTCTTGTACTTTTCTTTCTCCCACTCTTTTCAAAGCAGCTGCACCCAGGGGTGTCCTCAGGGCTGGCCAAGAATTTATGGTGACAGCTGTAACTGTGCAGTCAAAGCTTTCTCAGATTTCATGTGTGGCACAAAAAAACGAAAAACAAAACCAAAAAAGCACTGTTGTGGCTGGAATTTGACTTCTTTGACCACATCTTAACTTTTTTTTTTTTGACAAAACCGTGAGTTGCAGCTTTTGCTTTGTGGACTTACCAAACTAGATGGTTTCACCAGGAGCCACCTGGACGGTGTGCTCCTATGCTACCCAGGAGGCATTTGGCAGCCCCACGAGGTAGACCAGACCAGGAAATCAATCCTGCAGAAAGGCTACAACTACTTTTATTGAAATTGATGGTAATTAGAGAATCTTGCAAATCTGATTGGGCTGTACATTCTCCCACTTCTTATAATCCCGTGATTTAGGGAGGCCACTGCCTGATCCACTTCCAAATGTTATCTCATTGCTCTGGACTGAAAAAACGCTTCACCCCCTTTTTGCTCAGGAAACGGATCCTCCATATCTCCATCCCGGTCATCTTCCTTTTTCTACAGTTGGAGATAAATGTGCCCACAGGTATATATAAAAAATAGATATGTTACTTTTCTGTTTCATTGATAGGATATCGTTAGAGGAATGTTGGCTATTCTTACTGTGTTCACCATCCTGGAGTTTTGCATCGCCATCTCTGTTGCGTCCTTTGGATGTAAGGTGCTTTGCCGAGATTCCTACACTCAAACGGTAAGATTCCCAAGGAAGGTGGGTAGTTAATCCAGGCAAACGGATTGAGAAACAGATCTTGCTTTCTGATACTTTTGTGCAATAGTGTGAAAGAATAGGATTGGGAGGCATTACGTTGTTACTCCTGTGCAGACGGACCTATTCAGATGTGTTTAGAGATGACAGTTCAAGGGATAAAATAGTTTGGGGGGCTGTTTTGGCACAGGCTGTGCTGGGCGCGGGTTGGACCTCAGAGGACGGTGCAAAACAGCCTGGCTGGGGGCTGCAGGGATGAGAACCCCCGTAAGCCACTTCTCCATTTAGCGTGACTCACGGATTCTGCAGGCTGGCTGTTTTGGCATATGATGAAAGCGTGTGGGCTGCCCTGCATTGTAAACTCTGCCCCTTTTGGGTGGTGTGAACATCATGAGGCCTGTGTAGAAGGGGCAGGGTTTATTGTGCAAAGGTGCGATGCTGCTTTCGTGAGACTGACTGGGCTGGCCCACCTCGCG